ACAATTTATCAGGATAGTATTTTTTTTAAGTAATAACAGCTTGGAATAAAATAAAAGTAACGACTTTCTACTTCTTACCTTTTTAAAAAAAATGTAGTGAGTAGAAATTACAGATAATTGTGTAAAAATGTACTGAGTAAAAGTAAAATGTAAGCTGAAAAATAATTACTCAAAATACAGATAACCAAAATTTCTACTTAAGTGCAGTAACAAAGTATTTGTACTTAGTTACTTTACAACTCTGCATGTTTTAGAGGTTTCGACTCTCCGCTGATTTGAATGAATGGGTGATTAACAGGTTCCTGTGGAGGATGAAGAGGTAGTTCAATCACTGAATCAGGTGTGTTGGAGCAGGGTAGCCGGTCCTTGAGGGGCCACGATTGAACACTCCAGCTTTAACAGGTTATGGACCAAACATTAAGTTTCTGCATCAGCAACTTACTCTAAGACACTGAATGCTTGAACAAATGTACACTAATGTTTTGAACAGCGGCCTAAACAGAACAAATGTTGCATCTGAAATGTCAACAGTACACAAAGTTTTAGGATACAGAAGATCAAACCTGTTCTGTTTGTTTGTTTCCTGCAGCTAAACTGAAAACAGAAAGAGACAAGCTGATGGTTCACACCTCCAACTTCAGCTTTTGTTTTATTTCTAGAGGCAACTGCAAATGATAACAGTTGTTTGTTTTCTTTGTGTTTGTTTTGTGTTTTCCTGCCTTCCCCTCTGTTTAGGGTGCGGTTCCTAAGGGCAATGCAACTAAGGAATATATGGAGAGCCTGCAGCTGAAGCCTGGTGAAGTCATCTACAAGTGTCCAAAGTGCTGCAGCATCAAACCTGAGAGAGCGCACCACTGCAGGTCTGCAGAGCCTCATTGTAGTTCAAGTCTAATTAAACTATATCTGAAAATCTCATTGACCTCCCCACCTTAATTCATTAAAACGTGTTGAGTTAGTTAAAAACAGGTGCGCGTGGGTTCTAGTGTTCACTTTGTCTCATAAATGTCTCGTTCCTGCAGTATTTGTAAACGATGCATCCGGAAGATGGACCACCACTGTCCCTGGGTCAACAACTGTGTGGGCGAAAAGAATCAGAGATTCTTTGTGCTTTTTACTGTAAGTACGCACAAGTCATCATGAAAGGAAGTGGCTGGTAGATCTAGCAGGAAACTGAATTAGAAGCTATATAAACCTACTTTATGTGTTATTAATTGTTAGGCAATATGAGCCAAGTTTATTCATATAACACATTTAAGTAACAAGAAAAATCTGTTTTATACGACAAAAAGAAGTATGTTACAGTGACATACAATGACGTTTCAGTTAATATTTTAAATAAAACCGTGAAAGGCAACCCTAAACTAATGGGGGAGTTTAAGCTTGATTTAAAAGAACTCAGAGATTTTGCATTCATGCAGCTTTCTAGAAGTTTATTCCAGATTAGTGGAGCATAAAAACTGAATGCTGCCTCTCCGTGTTTGGTTTTGATTCAGAGTAGACCTGAACCAGAAGACCTGAGTGGTCTGGAAGGTTGGTACAACAACAGATCTTTAATGTATTTTGGTGCCAAGTCATTCAGTGATTTATAAACTAACAGAATTATTTTAAAGTCTATTCTCAGAGATACAGGAAGCCAGTATAAGGACTTTAGAACTGGGCTGATGTGTTCTTCTTTCTTAGTTTTAGTGAGGACGCAGGCTGCAGAGCTCTGGATCAGCTGCAGCTGTATGATGGACTTTTTATGCAGACCTGTGAAGACATTAACAGTAATTCATTCGAGTAAAGATAAACGCATGAATGAGTTTTTCTAGATCCTGCTGGGATGTTAGTCCTTTAATCCTGGAAATGTTCTTCAGGTGATAGGTCGCATTTGTAATTGTCTTTGTGTTTTTGAAAGGTTATCGTATTTATTCAAGAATGAAATAAAATCCATAAAATCATCCATTAAGCTGGGGGTAGTACTATACTTGGATAAATATTTTTACTTATGTATTTTAACTGAAATATCGGTTTCATTCACAAAATGCCTGAGTCCCGAAATGAGACCCGTGTCATAAAAAGCAGTTGAAACGAGCTCACCTGTGACACTCCTGCGTGCTTCAGAGCGAGATAATAACAGATCCAAGCAGGCGACATGATGTGGAAAAAAAGGGGGGAAAGTAGTCCTGCACCTCAGTAATGATAACGAACTAATGACATTAGTGTGTGACCGGGCCGCTGCTCTAACAACAACAAACACATGTTTGTCTGTAATGGCTGCTGTCTACCGGTGTTCTGAAAAAGTTTGTCTCCCTGAAAAAAGTTTCCCCACCAGAGGGGGCGCTCACGAGCAGGAAGTAATCTGCTTGTATCTGCTTGAAGATGGTCCAAATCTCATGTGAAGTCTCTGACTTTTGTGTTGGCGCCTCCTGGTGGACTATGTGTAAAATGCCAGAATTCATATGATGCTGCTACAGCTGATATACTGTATACTTGTTGTCAAAATACCTTTTAGTACATATGTTGTTAAAATAAAATGAACAGTCCAATGATCATTTTACTGATATGTATAAAGGCTGCAAAGGCTGAAAAATCTTGAAGTCTGTATGAAATTGGAAGTAGTTTGAGGATTAAATTTTTTACACTTTTTAAGCTCAAAAAACAGGGGGTCATATTATACATGAGATCAGATTATACAAGAATAAATACGATATGTTTGAGTCCATCACACCCAGATTTTGGGCCTGATTGGTAGTTTTCAGCTGTAATAACTGAAGCTGTGACTTTTTTGTCAAAGTAATTATTTCAGTTTTATTTGTATTCAGCTGAAGAAAATGATGGCACATCCACGCATTGATTTGTTCGATGCACCTACTCAGCTTTTGAATGTGTTCATAGTCACCTGGTGACTGATGTAATGTAGAGCTGTGTGTCATCTGTGTAATTATGGTCACTTATCTTGTTATAATCCGGGTTAGAGGTAGCATGTAGATATGCACAATAATCAGTGACTTTTTTTTCCAACTCATTTTGTTTTCATCCATGAAATTTGATGCTTTGCAGGAGAACACAATTTGCAGACTCCCATGTTGAGTTTTGTAGAGCAGCTGAGTAGTGTTGTAATGCACAGCAGAAACAGGCCTACATCAAATATGCTCCCATCTGTGGCTCTCTTGATAACACCAGCACTCTTTTATGACTTCAAAAAATGCTGACTTGAACTTTTTGAAGACAGAAAGATAAAGCTGTCATATACGTCTGAGCAGTGCAAGGTCACCCGCTACTGGAAGATGTATTTTGAACTTGGTTCCCACATTGATATGGAGATGTTATCCCTAAAAACACCAGTACACTGGGGTGTAGATTTTGACTGCCTTCATGAAACTCACTACATCACTTGCTGTAATTTTGCTTTTCCTCCGTAGATGTATATTGCACTGATCTCTACCCATGCCCTCGGCCTCAGCGGTATGCATTTCTTCACTTGTATTAAAGTCCAGTGGAACGGTAAGACCTTAATACTTTTACTGTATAAAAAAATGTTTAAAGTCCAGCTGTTCGTACAAATCGTTGACATTCTTTATAGAGAACTGAAGAAAGATGCAAAGAAAATTAGCTGGTCTGCACAGATCATTGACACCGTGCAGGCGAATCAACAAAGAACGTTCATTTGTCTTTCTGCTCCCCAGTCGGCCTCTCTGTGGAAATGAACCAGAGAATGAAGATAATATTTTATTCATAGAAGCCCTCCTTCTGCTGCAATGTACAGTATGAGCCTCTTACCTAGA